CGTCACTGTTTGGGTTATAACAACTTTATCCTATAGCTTAAAAAAAAAGTCAGTTGTAGGTTAATTGGAAATTTGAGACACTGTATATTATGTATTTTAGGCTGTCTCTAATTTAAAAATTCTATAGCAAGCTAAAGTAGTGGAGAATTCACTCTGGGCAGGTGCCATTTCTGAAGGTTGAAAATATTTAAAGAGGACATGGTTGTAACGATGTCCTTTGGGGAACACCTTTCCAGGTTTGTGGAAGAAGAGGCTGAGAAACGTGCGCTTCATTCATGCTTTTCTTCTGAGGTGATATTCCCCAGGCTGGATGTTGAATAAGCAAAAACTAAGCTTAGCTCCTTGCCCGTGTTGTCTTAGTAGCTGTTGAAGAATCGCGCTGGGAAGTTGGAAAGTGGGATAATGAAAAACAGACGCGGTTGGAGCTGCAGGTTGAGGATGTGGGCTTGTGAGGGGTTGAGTGGTAAGGGTGTGTCTGGGGGGATCTGTGAGGGGACACAGAAGCCTGAATGCTGGGGAGCTGCCACGAACTGAGAGAATGAAACCTGGTGTTATGGCAGATACCTTTCCGAGTTTTACTGGAGCTTCCTGTCAGGCATTCCTCTCTCTGTCGGATCCACAGAATAAGTCAGAGTGGAAGGGACTGCATCAGTAGAGGGGAGCCTGCCCTTCTCTTTCTGTGGGTGTCTCCCTGTCTTTGCAGAAGCTCTGAGCATTCCGTCGGGATTTAATTGAATGCCCACTAGGGGGCGCCCTGAGAACGGAAGAGGCTCATTTCTCAGCCGCACGACTTCAGTCCTGGATGTTATTGTCCAGCCCTAGTTCAGTTTCCCATTGTGCTGTTTATTTCAGCCCCATCTCTTGTTTTACTCAAAAAATTAATGCAGAGATTTTGAATCTGGTAGCAGATCCAGCCCCAGAAACCGACAATCTCCAAACTGCTTTCAACTGGATAGATGCGCTTACAATGTCAGCAAAATCATCTGGTGAAAACCTCGCATTAAATAGGTGGGAAAACTAGTGGGTGAGGTGGGGTGAATGGGAGGCCTCCTTGGCCTTGAGTCCTCCCCCTGCTGAGCACACTGCTCAGAGGCGGTGTAAGGACTTAAGTGAGAAGCAGGAATTGTCAGGTGGAAAATTCCCTCTGCCTGGCTGAACAGAAAATAAAACAAACATAAAAAAAAATTTGGTCAATGAGTTGTTCTTGCCATACAGCGCTTGGTGACTCAGAATCTGTCAAGAGCAGCAAGACATTTTCATTTAAACTGGCAGTTTTCTTCTGGTTCCAAGGATGCCCTAAACGGCGACAATTTACTTGTAAGGTACCATTGAAGTGACTTGACAAGCGCTGTCTCAGTGCTGCCTTTTCACTCTTCAGGGAGAATTCCGCAGTGATTTATTTTCATTTGTAGCCTCGCCTTTTAGAGCACTTCTCATGAGGTGTGGTGGTTTTAAGCGACTTTGCCAATGCGAGTGGCTGGAGTCCGGTGTTGGGTGTCAGGCTGCAGGAGATGCTGTGCAATCAGTACTCCTGAGACAGAGAAGTGTTTAAAAACAAGAATGTTGTGGCTTTTAATTGCATGTCTGGAGGGCCTTCTGAATCAAACAAAACACCACACAGCATCATCTTCTGTGAAAGGCAGTTCCAAAAAGTGTTGCAGAATCAGGAAATTGGAGCAGCTAGTCCAGCCCTCGCATGGTCCAGGCATCTTCCCCTCTTCAATCCCAAATGTGGTCTTGAGGCCACTGCCTGAGCCTGTCCACAAGACAGGGACTTCCAGAAATTAACAAGCCCAACAACGAGGTACTCTTGCAGAAGGGCTAAGAGCCCTGGCTGACATTCAAATCCTGACCCATTCCTTGCTAGCCTTGTGACCTTGTGCAAGCTATGCAGCAGTTTGAAACCTCAGTTTTCTCATCTGTAAAATGGGCAAATAATGGTACTAAGTTCATGGGCTTATTGTGAGAATTGAGTAAAATTATCTATAGAAAGCCTCAAATGGGGAAATACTAGTAAGCCCATTTCAGTTGCCTCTTTTAGCAAGTTCTCCCTTTCCCCCTCATTTCACTTGGACTTCCATTTAGATTTGAAGACCATCAGAAAGGCATGATGCTCTGGACAGCCTTGTATCATTCAGAGAGAAAGAGAGAGAAGAAATAATCAACCTTTCAGGTTAATTAGGGAATGCTAGGGAAGTGTGCCCACAGGAAGCCAAGGCAGCCATATTCTAGTAGGCTCTGGAAGTATTTCTGAAGCCTTGAATTTAGGCTTTGTTTATTGCAGAATTCTTGTTTTGCTACAATTTTGGCCACACTGTCGAGTGAGCCCCTGTGTCGAAACACGGCATGCATTTTCTTTGAGCCAAACTCCCTAGACCTTCAGGCAGCACAAAATATTGACAAAACATACCAAAACCAAGAACAACATTTTGGGGAGAGGTGTCATGTGATCACCTTACTGCCAAGAGCCAAATTCAACTTTCCCTGGGCACCAGGTTATCTCTGGTACGTGGTGTTGTATAAGCAGGAGGAAAGGTTTGTCGGAGGGGTCTGGCATGGGAGTGGCAGGACTGGTGGGCAGAGTGTGCCCCCAGGTCCTAGAGCTCTAGTTAGAGTGGCGGGCCATCCTCACTTGGCAAAGCTACTGATTTGACCCAAAATGGGTGTTTTCAGCATTGGCCCTGCTATTCATAGCCTGGTGCTGGAATATTTGCAGATCAAGGGAGTGAATTAGCAGGCTGGCCTGCTGAGCCAGGGCAGGGCGTGTGTGGCTGTCATATGCACATGTCGGAGGTGCCATGTTGCAGCTAAGACCTGACTCCAGTATCAGGGATCAAGGGACCTCGGCAAACATGTAGTCCAAACTTCTTATCCTGGAGGTGGAAAAAGTAGGGCACAGAGGCGTTAGGTGACTTTTCTGAGGTTGCACAGCTCCTAAGCGACTGGGCTGGGTCTAAGAAACCTGATTCTTGGTTTGGTATTTTTCCATCACTCATTTCATAAATCTTTCCTCGAGCAAGACATGTTCCTCACTCTTAAAGAGCTTATAATCTGGTAGCAAAGATGAAGTGTACTTACAAATATTGAACTAATTCAGCTCAGTTCAACAAAGATTTATTACCATCTGCCACATGCTTCTCGCCGTGTTAAATGCTGGGACATAGACAAAGAACTTACCGTCTGGCAGGAGAGATAGAATTAAGCAGTGGCCGTGGGCAAACTACGGCCCGTTTGAAATGAATAAAACTAAAAAAAAAAAAAAAAGACCGTACCCTTTTATGTAATGATGTTTACTTTGAATTTATATTAGTTCACACAAACACTCCATCCATGCTTTTGTTCCGGCCCTCCGGTCCAGTTTAAGAACCCATTGTGGCCCTCGAGTCAAAAAGTTTGTCCACCCCTGGTAGGCCATGGGTTCCTCTTCTATGCAGGACTTGATGATTTCAGGGGATTTTCAAGTCAGAATGTAGTTCATTAAAGCTTAGTTCAATG